TATATATATATATATACATACACACACACATTGAAAACTATTCCGAAGTATTATCGATTATTTCTATTGGATTCGTTCCAAACTCATGTCAGCTTGAGCCTCAATAAATGCTGACTAGCTAATACATTATCTTGCTTATCGCGTTTATCATAATAAAAAAAAAAAAAAAAAAAAAAAAAAAAAAACATTTCTTTAATTCGAAAAGTATATATGCGATTTTTCTTCATTTCATGTAAATTTCTTTTTTCCCTATTTTGATTTAATTCGACAGATCGATTCGAAGATCGTGCAATCTTAAATGCGATTGTTTATAATATCTTATTTCGATAAAAAAAAAGTAAAAAAATTCATTAGAAAAATTTAATCTCGAAAGCTAATTACTGAATCCTCTTCAGGAACGTGTTGAGAAATATTTTCCCACACCCTCTCATTTTTCCCTACCCCCTTTAAGCTAGTCGAGAAAAAAAGAAAATTAATCGGAATCGTAACGTTTGTTGGATCAGAAAAGGAGAAAAGGAAATATCAGCAAAGGAGAAATAATGAGAGCTGTAATAATAGTTGTAAAATATTTTACAATTAAAAAAAAGCAATGATTTTATTCTTTCGAATAGAATTGTTTATAAATGAAAAAAAATAACATTAAAGTTTCACGTATTATACTATATTATTACAGTGCTTTAAAATTAATACAAATTTGTATTTTCAAATGAGGGGAAAACAAAAAAAAGATAGTAACTCACAATGATTATTTTGAATATCAAGAAGCCGTATAGGAGGAGGTGGTAATAAATTATGAACACATAGGATTTACGAAAGATTTATTCCACTTTACTCTTAAAACCAGGTAGTTTCACATTCTTGTGTTAAAGAAAAGAAGGGTGAAACGATATTGGTATAAGTCAAGCTGATGTACAAGGTGGGGCAATAACTATTAGCACCACAGATATCTTCGGAACTATAAGGTTCACAGAAATATTTGCTGAAATAAAATTGCACAGTACGAAGAGGGCCATCCAATAGCGATAATAGTTTTTTTGCAGGTGGAGGTACTTTGGACATTTGAAGGTCACCTCAATTTTTTCAAATGGATCGGTATGTTTTTGTTTCTGTATCATGATAGAGGAGCTTAAAACGAGTTCAACGACCTATCACATAAGGTCATTGAAGGTCCTAGAAAGTACATAAAAGTGATAATTATTTTATCAATGGAAATTTGAATAGCAACATCTACGCTAATTTTATCAAGGATACATTGGGTCTTCTGCTAGAGGAGTTACCTTTACTTACACGACAAACCATGTGATATCAACATGATGGATGTCCAGCACATTATTCATTGATTGCACGAAGAGAACTCGATGAAAAATTTCGAAATCGTTGGATTGGGCGCGGCGGTCCAATATCGTGGCCAGCTCGTTCCCCAGACTTAACACCTCTAGATTTCTTTCTATGGGGAACACTGAAAGATGAAGTGTACAAAGAAGTATCAATTACACTCTACGACATGCAACAAAGAATTATTGCAGCCTGTACATCAATAAGTTCTGACACTGTAAGACTTGCAAGTCAATCAATCGTAAAAAGAATCCAATGTTGCATTGATACTRATGGTCATCATTTCGAACACCTACTAAACGTATAATTTTATTTACTGCCAAAACTGTAAGTATTATCGCAAACGATTTCGAAATTTTTCATCGAGTTCTCTTCGTGCAATCAATGAATAATGTGCTGGACATCCATCATGTTGATATCACATGGTTTGTCGTGTAAGTAAAGGTAACTCCTCTAGCAGAAGACCCAATGTATCCTTGATAAAATTAGCGTAGATGTTGCTATTCAAATTTCCATTGATAAAATAATTATCACTTTTATGTACTTTCTAGGACCTTCAATGACCTTATGTGATAGGTCGTTGAACTCGTTTTAAGCTCCTCTATCATGATACAGAAACAAAAACATACCGATCCATTTGAAAAAATTGAGGTGACCTTCAAATGTCCAAAGTACCTCCACCTGCAAAAAAACTATTATCGCTATC